AAAATTATTATCACGTTTTATATTTTTGTTTTCTTTTTATGTTAGGTGATTTTCTTCCTTTTTTTCTTTGTGTTAAACCTTGATTTAGAGCATTTTGGAAATTGGAATTGACAGAAAATATATCCAACAAGAAAAGGAATGCTGAAATTTATTACTACTAATATGCCTATATTTGTTGAGGTTAGAAAAATTTATTAGGTTTTCGGGCAAGCAAAAATATTAAAATATTTTTTTTTATTATTTTTTTTTGTTAACTTTTTTGGAATAAATTATTACTCTAATGATTTACAATTTGTTCAATTCTTTTTCATCTTCGTTTTTTTTTTTTGTTCAATTGTCGCCTATGCAGGTTTAGAGGCTATACCACTTAAATAGGTAATTACATTTTTAATGTTTGTATATAGCACTATATATACGGATATATCTACATATACATATTATATTAGTTTACATACATATGTTGTGTTGTTAGGTATAATAGCTATTTTGTATATACGACAGTAGTATTGTTGTTTTTTTTTTATCGTTCATTTATTGCGTATAGAAGTATTTGAAATACCATCTTCTTGTTGTTGTTTGACCATTTGCCCTTCCCCCTACACTACCATTTTCTGCTATTTTTATTTTTTTTGGAAATTGGCCTAAGGTTGGCCTACAGCAGCTACAGAACCTACAGTACTTTTCTGTATGCCTAGCGCTTTTGTGTGCTTAAAGCAGTGAGTGTAGTGATGATGGTGGATGGTGGTTGCAGTGGGGTCGCACTGCACCACTGCCATGTGTTGATAGGTAAGATACATATACAGAGGATAAGTGAGTGTTGTAGGCAGTCAATAGAATTGCACTTGAAAAAGTTCTCCTAATTGTGTTTATTCTTTGTATCTATTTGGATAAGCGCCAGCCAACTGCTTTTGTGAGCCTAAAGGAGAAGGTCAACTATAGGCTAAACTAACTAAAATGTATGTATGTACCCGCGAACAGCTACACACATACATACGTATGCACATTTTTGCTCGTAGTGTGCCTGCTCTACTTTGCATTTGTAGTCTATGAACACGGATTTTGGATTGGAATTACGATCTAAATTTTGTTTGTTTATGCTTTTCACGTGTGCTAAGGCCACTCTTTAATACACACACACACACACACACACACACACACACAAAATATATTTTATTTGTATTTATTTACATATATGTAGGTATGTATGTACGTACTGAATATTTACAGAATGAAGTTATCAATTAATAGCTATTTACTCCAAAGAAATGCGTGCTTAGTTACCCAAGTCAATTATTATTATTTAGTTAATCAATTGGCATATAATACATACATTAAATATCGTATAAATGTGTATAAGGACATAGAACAAACCCCACACAAGCTGAATATTCGATTCCGTTCGGATCACAAAAACAAAAAAAAAACACACACACAAAGAAGTAAAGATTATAGTAATGAAAAATAAGTTGTTGCGATTTTTGTGTTGAGAGCTATATTAAAAGCTTAACAAATGAAATAAAAATAAGAAAATAGTTGTTGTATGTACATTAAAGTGAATAATATATAGGAAAGGAAAATATTATAATGCCTTTTGACATTCTCTCCTCTACTTTAATGGAGAAGTGTCAAAAGAGGCAGCGCATTTCATCAAAAGCAATTGAAATCATAAAGGCTGTTCAGGTTTCGTGTGCATAAATATTATCTTGCAGTTATCTCGGTGCATTATATCGCATAGATAATCTTGTATGTATATCGCTTAATCACTTATCATTTTCGCTCTGATTTTAAATATTAATTGGTATCAAATAAAGTTATGATTATATACAGAAAATATTCTTCGTCTCATTAACCGAACGCATATTCAGTTTTCTGATCATTGCGAAGAACGTCTGCAAATCGTTGCTAACTTTGGATTTTTGGAGATTCACTTTGCCAACACACGCCTACTGATTTTGTTTTTGTTTGAAATTGAATACAACATATTCGCATATACGATATATCGATGGCTGAGTGGAAGATCGACCTATCTCGGCAGCCAGTTCCAAAACGCCCTCTCTCAAAAAATTTTTGAGCAACGCTCTATCTCAGAAAACTTTTCAAGAACGCCCTACTTCAGAATTTGATTGAAGAATGCCCTATCTCAGCTGCCGATTCAAAAACGCCCTATTTCAGCTTATTTTCAATGTATATTCGTTTGAGATAGGGCGTTTTTGAACCGAATTCTGAGATAGGGCGTTTTTCAATCAAATTCTGAAGTAGGGCGTTCTTGAAAAGTTTTGTGAGATAGGGCGTTTTTGAACTGGCTGCCGAGATAAGTCGATCTTCCACTCAGCCATCAATATGTAGGCTAGTCGTCTTTGTTTTTTTTTTTAGCAATTCGTTTGGGGGTATTTGTATTGTGGGTGAATTCTCAGCCAACTTCGCGATGTGGAAAAGGTTAGAACACAACAACATATTTTTGATATTTACCCCCTCACTCAGAATATTCACACTTTTAATACACTTTTTATGTTTGGAGCAGTGTTGTCACTTCAGAAACCAAATTAGTGGTAGATTTTCAACAAAAAGTGGTAGAGAGTAGGGAGTTTGTGTTGGTTCGGTCGTGGGGGAGATGGCTGGGGGGGATGCCGCTGCATGCTAGTAGCAAAGGTTTAAAAGCCGTCCAAACTTGATCGGGGGAGGAGATAGAGCTACCGCGCCATCTAGCGGGTGTGAGATGTGTGAAATCATCATTCCACAATATGACATTGTGCTTAATTTTAAAGATTTAAATTTTCCAATGTCAGTAAACGAAATTAAAATCTTCGAAAACAATAATCCACATATAAGCGTAAACGTGTACGGTGGTCTAGATGCAGACAGCGATATTATCATAGGACCATAATATCATTCTGAAGAAGAAAAATTTGATCATATCAATCTTCTACTATTGGAAGACATTTCAAATTTGCACTATGTCTGGATAAAACACATTTCAAGGTAACATAAAAAATGATTTAAGTAAAAAAAAAAATTGTTTTTTTAAATAAAAAAATGTTTTTTATATAATTATAGATTACTGAAAAGTCAACTGACACGACGCCGAAATCGAGTGTATATATGCAACATATGTCTATCTCATTTTCACAATGAAGATGCGTTAAAACATCATCGAGAGGAGTGTAATCAAATTATAACCGAACTACCTTCAGAAAATGAAAAGGTATTAAAATTTAAGAATTTTAAAAATCAATTAGAGGTACCATTCGTTATATATATGCAGATTTTGAATGCATTTTGGAACTTATAGATATAGATAAAAATTGTATATGCTTGGTTACGCAGCCACCTCCGACAGCGAAACAAATGCAAGCAGCGCAGTCAACGTAGTCAGCTTAGTCGATGCGCTAACTCATTTATATACAAGTTAACGCTCCAATAAATAACTGCCAAACATTAGGTCAGCACATTTTACATCCGGCACAAGTCAATATAATAATTTGGCAATAAC